CTGAGCCTGGTTCTGCTGGAGGTTTCTTCCTGTTAAAAGGGAGTTTTTCCTCTCCACTGTCGCTACAAGCATGCTTAGTGTGAGGGATTGCATTCGAGGCAATGAATCGATGCAATCAACTGGTTTTTCTTAGATAGAAAACTTTGAACCAATTTACCTGTATGATCTGGTGAACTGTAAAGTGCCTTGAGATGACATGTGTTGTGAATTGTCACTATATAAATAAACTGAATTGAATTGAACTGTTGCTACAGTGCGGGATGACCCTGAACTGGTTTTGGTGCCTATTTGTTTTTTGGCCACCCCTAAGTCCACAGTTGCCCCTCCCAGGCAACTAAATTGAAGCCAGCGGAGTGGGTGACACTTTCCTGATTTTCTTTATTTATTTCTAAAAAAAAAAAAAAATTCATTAGAAAACTACTTTAAAGGTATTCATTGCTTGGTATCAGGCTATCTCACAAGTCTAATAGATTACACTAAAGGTTAAGATTATATTACATACATTTGATAATATTTTGTTTTACAAAAATTACTTTTAAAGCTTTAGGCTCTGTAAAGTGTTGTAGGAAAAATAATACACTGATACTGAAAACCCTCTACTTAAGAATGGGGAAAATCTTTTACAGGTTGAGACAAGTGAAAGTTACCACTGCAATTAAACGTAACATAGTTACATAGATAAGATTTGCCCACACACTAAATATTTCTAAGACTGTTCATTTCCACCTGGTGAATTAGGTATAAGCACACCACATTTCTATTCACCGATCCTTTGATTAAATGATGAAATGGACCAGTTAGGTCCATTCAATCATGACTGTAAATATCTTTACCATTTATAATAGGTATATCTTGCTTATTATATGACTGTTTTTATTTTATTTTGTTAGTAATTCTTAAATACATATGTTCTAATTCATTTTTCTTTGCCTCATATCTCTTTCACTTTCTCTTGGGCATGTGTGAAGTGAAACTTTTGTGCCTGTTATGCATTTCTCACACATTCAGCTGCTTAAAGCCATGGTGATGGGTGAGAACACTGAACAAACTGATATCATAAATATAACTTGATAATCAAATAGCCAAACAGTTATCAAAGTGATTATAATGAGCGCTTCATAAAGTGCCGTAGGTAGAAATGTTTTATGACTGACTAGTCATAATTATAACCTTTTGCATTGACATGATTAATTTTGCATCTTCACTTTGAGGCAAGACACAGCAGATAGTCAGATTTGCCTGCAGGCACAAGTGAGTTCACCTGTTGTTTGAATACCCAGACCAGCAAGGGGCGTGTTCAACTTCTTATGCAAAACGGAGATAAGAAAAACCTCAAACTTTTGTTCATAGGTATAATGAAATTGGCATTAAAACATTATATTTATAGCTAATTTAATAGTTCTTCCATTAGATTTATACTTGTAAAATTGTTTTATAAAATGAATTCACAAGTTTAAATAAAAGATAAAATCTTATGAAATTCATATTTTACTAATCTGATGTCATAATAAATGAAAGCTTTAATCTCTTCCTCTCTGTGTACAGTTGTATCACAAATCTTAATAAAGATAAAGACTGCTAGAAATTATTTTGCATGTGAAATAAGTAAATATTGGCATCAGGTGAGTTAAAAGTGCTACTGAAGAAATTGCATACATAAGAAAAGGAACTCAGAAAAAAAAACTGGGTTGAAATTTAGGGACAGTTAGAAAGTGGCCAAAGCTATAGAACATTATGTCCAGCATCTTGGGAAGAATTATTTAATCTAACATCTTAAAAAGAAAATATGGCAGAACCGTAAAGCTACAACGGCATGGCAAAGGGGGTTGTAAACATTGTAGAAAATGAGCAATAAAAAAGCTTATTTTTGAAAGAAAAAACTGTCAAGCCATGTGGGACAACATACTTAGAGGAAAACCCCCATTTCAGAACTCAGCATCCTCACTGTGTAACACAGTGGGGGCTGCAGCATGCTGTGGAGATGCCTTTCATCAGCAGAACACTTATGACTGTGGTGTAGGTTTACTTCCCTCAGGAAAATGACCTTAGGCATAAAACCAGAGCTAATTTAAAGTGGTTTTATTTAAAAAAATATATTATTGTCTGAGAAACAAAACAGTTGCAGGATTTGAAAACGGATTTTTACAGCCTCTATCAAACAATCTCAATAAGATTAAGCCATTTTCAAGAGCAGCTAATATTATCTATAGATAAGCAAAGGTGGTTGATAATTAATAAATATACAAATTGAAGACTACTTAATAATTCAATAATTCATTGACTTTTGTATACGTTTTCTCCTACTTATTCTAGCAATTACCGTAACACAATAGTTAATTTTTAAATTTTATTATCGTTGTTTCACGTTTTGATAGTAGTGCAGTAGCGCCCCCTGGCGCCAAGGGAAGGCGTCACAGCAGAAAGCGGGCGCTTTCCTTTCCTCTTTTCCTATTGGCTGTTGTCGATCATGTGACCAAAACAGAGTCATGGCGGCGGCCGCTGCAGCCAGGTCGAGCATGGGGCTGACTTTGAGGCTCTCCAGAGTTATCCCGGACTGCCGCTCATGTCCTCTGTACAGATTTAAGGGCTGCGTCGGAAACACAACCGGCACTAACCGGAGCGGCTCGTTTGATAGTCTGCGGACGATAAGCCGCCATTTACAGACGAGTATATGTGAGTAGTGCAGGTTGCTAACAGTTTATAGCCTCATTTCAGGAATTCATTCGTTCATATGATTTGTTTTGCTGCAGAATATCACTCTTATTCCGAGTTGTCCATCGTGCCTCCAAAGTTTAGCCTGCAACTTATATATCAAACCGCAGGTTGTTTAATAGTTCTTGTGTAACTTCTTCCCAGTTGGACTTGTTACGAAACTTCAGCAACAAGAGTACATTTCATTCTGTGCATTTAGTTGATATGAAACATAACCTTAATTCCTCACACTCCCCGTTTGTTTTTACAAAGGTCTCTACCAAGCCGAAGAGGGCAGTTCTAACGCTGAAGACCCAGATGATGTGTAAGTCCAAAGGGCTTTTATTGTGAAGGGGTCACTCAATGAGGGTCTATTACATTCTTCAAAATAAAAGAAGGTCTTGGGTTCATCTCAGGCCTGAAATGTAGAATAAATGGACTGTTATCAGCACATGCTCCAGTGTTTATAGGTAAAAGTTAGACATATCCCTGTGAACATTATTTTGAACAGGAAATACCAAATATTTAGACTAAGAAAACTTTTATTGCATTTTTTTATACACAGTGTATACAAAACAAAGTTTTGTTTAGTACAGCTTTCAGACAGTAAATGAACATTTCCATTCCATAAAGTGCAGCAGTGATCAGATGTGTGGGACAAACGACATGGTGCAAAAAAACGCATTGATATGGAAGTTCAGAGCATTAATATATATGGTGCAAATATGCAGTATTTTTGGTTTGGTGTTGTCAGTTTGAAGCAGAGTCTCTGACTTGATTTATAGTTTTCTCAACAGTTCAGCTGTCTGATGGCGGTGTGGAAGAAGCTGTTGCAGAATCTGATCAGCCTAGTTAAACAGTCCAGAGAAAATATTTTGTGACCGTAGCTCCAGCACGAGCTGGCGGTCGTAGATGCAGGATCTATGCCTGGTTTGTGGCGTTCTAAGCGGCCGATTTTGTGAAATTGTTGAGAGCCATAATAGGCCGCTGCCTACAGGCGCCACCATGATTCAGACAGCAACTTTATAAGATAAAGTTGCTTTCTGTGTTTATACTTGAAATGATACGAACTTGAAAATGTTATGCCTTTGAAAAAGTATTCACACCTAAGACAACCTAAAAAATTTATGGCATCCAATAAACCCTGGGGTGGTCAAACTCCAGGGTTTCCGTGGGTCATTAAAAATCACTAAAAGTCATTCAATTATTATTTTTTAAATTAAGGCCACCTTAATTGGCATTAAAATTCATTAATTGGATTATAGTGGCATTTAAAATGCTTTATTAAAAAAAATCAATACAATCAATCAAACAATATATCAGATATAACTGGTTCCACATGTTGCGCAGAACTGCTTGCAGTTGATCTTAAAGCTGCATGTGTGGAAAAGAAGCTTGAGGCAGAGAAAAAGCTAGGGAATGGGAAAAGGAAAATAACAACAAAAGTGGCTGGAAAAGCAGGAATTTGGGACATGGCTGCAAACTGTCGATGGTAAAGATGATGAAAGATTTTGCATTTATATATATATGAGAATCATGGGCACTTGTTGATGGCATTACAATTATTTCTAAGAGCATTAAAAGAGCATTAAAAAGCATTATATTTAGTTACCCATTCCTGTATAAACCCTGAACTCCATCCTGCAGGCCTAGGTTCATGCAGCTTTTTGATGTTTCTTCAGTTCTACCCACCTGGATCAAATAACTGAATTACCTCTTCATGCATTCAAGTTTTATTCCAATCTACTGCTTACTAGATACAATGCTGCTGTACCGATGCAGAGCGCCTAAATGTTGTAGAATATAATCCCTTGAGGTTTGTAGTTTCACATCTGAGTGCTACACTGACAATACAGGCAAGGAGAGGCTTAGGTAAGGCCTAGAAGTTGCCAAATCTGACCTAAATGGTAGAGTGAAGAAATACATAAGAAGTACACATTTTAAAATTTACAATAATCCAAAAGGAGGCTCAGACCAAGTCTTTGCTTTTCAGCCTTTCTGCAAAACGTTTATATATGGTGGAAAACCAACTACATACCCAAAACACGCTGTCCTGCACTTTATACACGGTGGAGGGAGCGTTATGATGTGGGAGGGCTTTTCTCCAGCAAGGTTAGGGAAACCAGTCAGATAAAGGGAACTGCTGCTGAGTTCGATGCACCCAAAATACTTGAAGTGTATATTAAGTAGGGGTGGGTATTGCCAAAGAAGTCACGATTCACAGGCCACGATGCGATTCTATCACGATGCATCACGATACTTGAATAAGTGCGATGCATTGCAATATTTTCCCTGAACACTGTTAGAAACAAAAGTTTACTGGCTGAGTATGATCTGGGTAGTGTCTTCCAATTGATAAATAACTGAAAGCAACTGCATTCATACATAGCTGTATTTATTGAAATGACTTTCGGAGGTGTTGCCATGAAAACAAATATTACTGTAACTGGACACAAATATTACTATTGCTGAAGTGGACACAATGACAAAAAGTGCTTAGGATTTATAAAACTAAAAATAACAAAATAAGGATTATCATGGCCTCAGTGGTCCTTTAACTCAATGAAATGAAAACATTTTGGAAGTAGCTGCCTTTATAACAATATAATTCCATAAACACAAGAGGATAAACTGAGACAAAAAAGTGCATAGGCTTTATATATAACGAGATTATATAACGAGGCTCCAGTGTGCTGATAATTTTTTTGAAACCACGGTTCTCCACTACACTATATGGTCGCAAATCCTGGCAAATGAACTCAGTGATGGACTCTGTAATCTTCTTTGCACGTGTAGATGTCTGGGCTAGCTTGCAATCGAAAGTTGTTTGTTTAAACACATTTTGCGGCGCTGGCGGTGATTTTCTGGATGGCGCCTCTGCATGTTTGTTTTTAGGTTCGTTGTGTTCCCTCAGTATTTAATTCTGGTGTAGCAGTGTTTGCAAATTGCGTGCGTCATATCAACTTCATTTTTACCTTCGTTTTTAAAACCAAAATGCTTCCAAACATCGGATTTGAAATGTGACAGAGCCGGACGAAGTTTCTCAATCTCCTCCATGTTTTGTTTTTGAATGACTCAGCGCAGTGTCCCGTGGCCGGAAATGCTTGTGACACAAGGCAGGGTGCGTCAACACATCCGCAGCGACATCTACTGGACTAGAAGTTATATTACACTTGTTTTTGGCTGATGTTCGCCAACCATTCATGCAATTTTATTTATTTATTTTTTAAATGAATAATCGATACTTGGCGTCAAGAATCGATGCAGTAGATCATGAAAATTAGAATCACGATGCATCATCATGACGATTATTTTGCACACCCCTAATATTCAGGCAGTTTTGTTTCTTTGTTAGAAAAAAAAAAAAACAAGCACAAACTAATATTTTATATTATTGATGACCCCAAAACCAGAAAATAAATAACAAACCATTGCCCCCTTTTGTTCTTTGGTTTTTTGATGTTGTTCTAAACAAAACTGGAAAAAACAACCAAGTGCTTAAGGCCTCACTGGTCATCCTCATATTTTTGACAATCAACCTGACCCAGGAGTTCCCTTTGCCCCACATACACCATGTGTTGTACACAAGTCCAAAACAGCATAAATTGTATTTAGATTTTTACTCACAGGAAACTTTTATTCAGATTTTGTTTTGTATTAGGATTTGAAATGCACAGAAAATTCTAAGGAATATGAGTCTAATCATGCTGGTGCTCAGTTTGCACAAAAGGAAAGTAAACCCTCTGATCTCCATGGCAACTGTAAACTTCCCCCGTAGTTTGTGGGCAAGAGATTTTTGTGGTGTCATTTATCTCTGGAAAAAAAATAAAGAAATGTAAAGCTAGTTGTTTGTTTTTCCATTTTTATTTAAGTGCAAAAACTGCAACAAACAAAAACTGCTTAATAATATACATGGACCAAATACAGAGTTTTTATTTGTTAATGATATAAATTCTATCTTCTAGGGTCAATGTGGTTTATATTGACCGGTCTGGAAAGAGGATCCCAGTTAAAGCAAAAGTTGGAGACAACGTCCTCTACTTGGCTCACAAACATGGAATTGACCTGGAAGGTGAGGGGGGGGGGACTAATCAACCGAAGCATGAATGTTGACCTGATTACATACATTTCCTGTATTGTTGTCTCATAGGAGCCTGCGAGGCATCGCTGGCCTGCTCAACCTGCCACGTCTATGTGAACTCCGACCATTTCGATAAACTTCCAGAGCCTGAAGAGAGGTAGGATTGCCCCCCCTGGTGCTTTTCTGTTTGCGCTGGATCTTGATCAAAGTTAACACACTTATTGGCCCTCAGGGAGGACGACATGCTCGACATGGCGCCCATGCTTCAGGAGAACTCACGTCTGGGATGTCAGATCGTTCTCACTCCAGAACTTGACGGCATTGAGCTCACCCTGCCTAAGGTCACCAGGAACTTCTATGTAGACGGCCATGTTCCCAAACCTCATTGAACAGAGAAAGGAAGAATAAGGAAGAGTGGGGGCTGGAGAAAGAACTGGGAGGGTGTTACTGTGTGACAGACACTGTGTGCTGGTTGAATTATGGTGTGGTGACTTAAGAGAAACAACAGGTAGGATAGCATTATCCTTAGCAGCTCCCAGGACAACTTACAGGCCTTTCCCACTGTTTAACCAACGTGAGGACAGATTTTAGATCATAAAGCACTACAAGTCTGGTAAATTCTCAAGGGTTACATGCAGAAACAACTGTGGCGGTTCAACTGATGTATTTATTTAAGTGGAGTGTTCTCTGGCCATTTTAAAGACACCATTCGACCTCACAGACTGCTCTAGGATCAGTTTAAGATGCCCACTGATAAGCAGAGTCAGTACCTGTGCTGGTGAGTGGCACATTCCTCGTTACAGCTTATATACGCACAATAATCACAAAGTGATCATGGTTTCGACCAGTCCGTTCTGATCTTAATATCTCACATTCTACTATGCATTGGATTTCTTTTTATGCATCATAGTCATTTTTTACAAAATTAGCCATAGCTAATAGATGTGTTAAGGTTTTCCTGCTGACAGAAAAGCCATATGAGTGTACTCTACGTTTGAATGCCAGAAGGATGCCGATACTTAGTGCTTATTTGTTTAAACATTTCAAAACATGCAGGTGCGTTGGATTTGAGTCAAAATCTAAATGAGTATTTCTTTGGTGGTTCTTAAGGATTCATTGATTAAGGAAGTTCAGGTGTGCTTACATTGTGGTTCATATGAGTTTACTCAAATCTACTGTACTTGTCCAACATACGCACAATGTGTTTTATTTTTGTTTTGTTTTTTTGCCAAAAACAATTCAGGTTGTGCAATAAAAACACGCTCAAAACTGAGAATTGTAAGCATTGCATTTATTTGATTATATTTTTAGACATAAAATCATGGGGGAGTTGCCTGAAAAAGACCAGTTTGAAGTGAGCAGCCACTATTGCTAGGGATGTTTTCCTCTGTATTGAGACTTCGCAGCGTGAGTCGAGTAATCCAGGTTAATTTCTGTGAAGCTTGTGTCAGTGACGTTTGAAGCATTGTGAGCCGGCAATACCAGGTGAGAGATTCAGGAAGAGGTTTGGTGAGCTATTTGGCCAGTAAAATACAATGGATCCCCCCTCAGATTTTGTGGACTTTGGATTTAGAGATATAGTGGAGGATTTTCACGAATTTTCAAAAAGACCAGCCCTCTCCACTTAATAGAAGAAAAAAAAATGCACATGCACAACCCTGTACCCATGCCCGAGATGGAACGCCTGTTAAATGCGTGCAGGAGCTGCACATGTACGCTCTGTTTAAAAGTTGCTATTTGCATCCTTAATACGAGCTTACTTTCCAAAAAAAGATTTGCAATTTTTCCACTATGTCAGACTCGCCACTGGTAAGTGAAAAAGGGGACGAGCACGTAGGACGGCCTTACGTAAACGTATCACCAGAATGATTGGCATTTAGGAGGACCAGTCATTTTGATGATGCACCCAGAGTAAGAACTTTCTCCACTATACCTTTAATTGAAAGTTTGCGACCTATGAACCTGCAAGAAAAATGAGATTTCCCCCTGTCTGGGATCATTTTGAGCTGATCTCACCAAATAAGGTTTTACATTGTAATAATTAGCGTAATATAGATAAATGTGGTAACACAACGCATCCCTTGTTCTAAGTTCTGGTATTTTAAAAGATGACGTGTCTATTGTGTTCCAAAGAACTTGGATACAACAATAACACCTCATCTGTGCTGAGGCATTATTATCATCCCTGAATCGGAGCACTGCTAATTAGTTATTTTTAAATAAAAATGAATAAAAAGCTGACTTTGTCATTGTATCTTAAAAACAGACAAATTGAATTAAAATTATACTTTATTTATAAAGCCTCTTTATTTGATAAATGTGGTTCAAAGTGCCTCTCACATTTAAAATCCAACCTATACATGACTGCACTCAAACTCACCCCCCCAGTCCATCACAAACACACCCACCCACATAAACACCAGGTAATAAAAAGGCAGGGACCTCCACGTTACCCAGGGTGCAGGGATCAGCAACCAGGAAGCTGTAGCCCACCACTGCCCCTCGATGCAAAAAGGCCTATCAAAACAACGCTAACATGCTAATATTGGGATATGGCATCAGCAAACACCTGATCATTAGAGCGTTAATAGCAGCAGTGTAGGACTGTCTTAAAGCGAGCCAGAATATGAGTCATGTTAGATATTTGTTTCTGGAGAAACAGATAATAAAGCAATATATTTTAAAAGTCATGTTCTTTAAACCATATAAAAGTTTATAATTTATGTATAAGTATCACAAACATCATTGATTCATTCATTCAGTGTTTCAAACACCAAAGGCATAGAGGAGGGGTCTTCCAAACTGATGGCAAGATGAAGCGGGGACCCCCTAATTATATATATTGAATAAATTTGTGTTATATCAAACTGGTCCTATAGTCAATCTATTACAGATGGAATCATGTAACGAAAGTAATTTCGCCCCGGGATTATTGAAGTATGTCTGATTCGGATTCCTCATTAAGGACTGTATTCCCCCATACATTAACATATGGACTGTCCTCACACATACATACTCAATCTGTATATAATCTGTAAATCTTATCTGCCATTATTTATCTTGTATTATAAACCTGCCAATACATACATAATCCTTTTCCTAACATTCCTGTATATTCTGTATAATCTGTGCATGTAGCTCCCATATTCATATTTATACACAACTTTTACAGTACCTAACTATTACTTTTTGCTTGTACATACAACTGTAATAGTATTTATATCCTTTATAGCACTTCTGGATAGATGGAAACCACATTTCGTTGCTTTGTACTCATGACAGTGCAATGCCAATAAAGTTGAATTCTATTTTAATTCTATTCTAGGTGTTGTGGATGAAACGGTGCCCAGGTTCAATGAGCTCTTGTGTGTCGCTGAATGTGTGCATCGATGACTGAAAGACATCTTCTGCCTCCATTTATCTGTTTACTACAGTGTGTTGAATTCATGATAATGTTTATTTAAAGATATTTCAATTAGTGGAAAAATTTGCAGGGGGGAATATAAAAAAAGTCTAATCAACCAAAACTTTCACAACCCACATGCAGTACCTCTGAGGACCCTCTAGGGGTCGCGGACCCCCTGCTGAGGACCTCTGCATAATTAATGTCCACTTGATGGCACAATAGAGCAAATGAAACGCCTTGGTGCTTAAATCCTTCATTGTCCCACATTGGGGAAATTAACTCAAGCAATTGGATGGAAAGCTTCAGTGTTTTAAAAAGCTTCATCCGCCATCACTACTTTGCACACAGCATCCAGGTAAAACTGAAGCGTCCAGCAGTGTTTTTATACTGAGTGTAATCTAGTAAATCAGAAACACCTGCGTGGCTTCCAGCTGATCCAAAGCAGAGAAAATCTGCTCCATCGGGTTGAAAATCCTAATAAGTACAAAGATTTGCATTTCTATAAATTTTAGAGCGATTTTTATTTTATTTTTTTCAGGATCTAAGGTGAGTTTTGATCACTAAAGTATGCGAATATAATGTTTCTAGTTAGCAACTCAAACTTAACACCTGCGAAATCCAAGTATTATTTATTTACGATCTGGTTTGGTTTTTTGGGTCATTATTTGTGATCTGATTTCGCTCTACTTTAAAAGCAAATTTGCTCTTGATTAAAAATCCGAGGGGAACCAATTGGATTATCAGGAGCAGAACATAAACTGGGCTAGGTTTTTCCTTGTTTTGGTCCATGAAGACTGAGCCCAGATGATACCGGGCAGTATGCCGCCCTCTGGGGGAGCAGGCTATTGATGTATGCCGCCGCGCGCGCGAAGCCTTTAAAGTTCTGGAAGTCAGAACAAAACGAGAGGCTTTTCACAACCAAATTAAACAAGAACTAAGTCCCTTCATACTTTTTGGTGAGTTTAAAAAGTCAGTCTTTACTTAAGGCAACAAATTCCTAAAAAGTCATAGTGTGTTTCCATTGTTTTACATACTTTGCTACGCTTTTACATTGGAAAACAATTCTGCTACTAGCCCACGAAGACTTAACAGGTAATTTATTAACTAAAAAATGTCATGAACACCTGAGTTTCTGTCTATGTTGTTGCCTTATAATGAGAAAATATAAACATCTACTGTTGTGTGTGTATTAAAGGTTGTGGCCACATAAAATGTTCTTTTTCTTTACCGTAATTTGACCATTGATGACAGACATTTTATTATTTTTAATGAACTTTTTCAGCTCACTTTCACTTGACAGACAGGAAATGTTTATTAACGTGGCCAGGCAATAACTGAGGGGTGGCACCAGAACCTCAGGGTCAATCTACACTCTTCCAACAGGAAAGTTAATGAGCAAAACATCAATATTTTCTAAATATGGATGACAAACTATACTTTCCTACAGCCTTTGCTAACAAGTAGACGCATATATTTAAACATCCAGATTAAAGGTGGATAAAATCCTTTCACGTTTGAGTTCTGGGGTGAACATCTTACCTACTTTGATCAAAAATCATTCTGAATAAAATTGATATTTACAAGTACTGATGTCTACATAAATTGATTAAGTTTTTATTAAAAAGGTTATTTATCTATGATTTCACTGAAGACTCCCAGATGGCTTCCAGAGACACATCATTTTCACTTTACCCCATAAAACACCAAATCTAGTAAAGGAAAGGGCATGCATTATGTTTTTATCATCTTTAATGTTAGTATTTTAATGTGCATATTTAACCACAGTGTTTTGTTGTTAAGTAATTGTTAATATATGAAAATTTTAAATGTTTTGAATATTCCACTTGAGAGTATTACTGCTGCCACTGTCTGTATTAGAGGGAGAAAATGGTAGGGGTGGCTAATGATTGGCTCTGGCCCCCATCTAGCTCCGTCCCTGTTGACAGAGCATAGCAATTGCTCTGATAATTTTCCAATACTTTAGACCTGATAAAACACTCTGCACTAACACTAGCAGATGGCATAATGTACCTTAATTCCTTGTATCTCTACCCACTACTTTAGCTTCTTGAATCTAGATTTCCAACTACAAATGTAGGATTTTCAAATAAAACTGACATTTGTGGAAGGGTCCAGTCCTTTTTATTTCTAGCCCAATCTGTTTTCTCTGGTTCAGAATGCAGATGTCCCCCATGTCCTGGATACATCTCTTGCATTGTTGCTGTAAAAGCTTTGATGCTGCCCTCAGTCCTAACCAGTGGTGGTTGGCCAATACAGGATGCTAGGGCGCTGCCCCACCCACCAAATGACCCTGATTACGACATAAAAAATATAAATTTTTTTAAAATAAATTTTAGATTAACATTTAAAATATTTTGAAAAAAGGTGTGTTTTTCCTTAGGAGGTAAGTCAATTAGCCAATAAAATACAATGATTGATCTAAAAAAACAAAAATAAAACAAAAAACTACTTCATTCTCTTATTTTAAAGGTGTAGAAGGAAATCTTTTCTGATGCATTTTTTAACATGTGGCTTAAAGATCTCCCCACAGCAGCTTAGCAAGCAGTGACTATCTGGAAGTGAAACTAAAATAAATCCTCCACGCTACAGTGAGAAATTAATGAAAAACCTCAACCAATCACAAAAGACGGTCCGTTATACACGATTGGTTTGTGACATCATGGTCGTCTGCTTGTCCCTCCCCCCTGTGCGCGTACCCCGACAAATGAACGAATCGACCCCCCAATGCTCGTGCAGGACGCCATGGCTGGAAGCTAGTCACTGTAATGCTACATTCACACCTAAAGCAGCAAGAGAAGCGAAAACGCACATGCTGCTTCATATTTGATGCTTGTACAAGTTTATTT